CCACCCCTCCTTTCTTGGGTGGGAAAACTGAGGTACAACTCTGGCCTAAAAGCATTCTGGGCCTCAGTTTCCCTGTCTGTGCAATGGGGAGTTGGGAGAGGTGCTCTCTGACAATCCAGGGTTCAGTGAGTCCCGCTGTCTGGACTCGGGGAAAGTCCCCCCCTGCCCTGTGTTCCGACCACAAAGAGGGCGTTTTTGAGTCCTGGATGTCATCGGTCAATGCCACTCCTGTGATTCTCCAGCCTCAGTGAAAACGGCTTTTCCCTGGACACTGCGTTCAGTTTGGCCCAGTGCTTCTCTACGGTGCAGTGGCTTTGCCACGTGAACGTCAGGTGGGTGTGCCTCGGGGCCCTCGCCCTACCCCCTTGTCTGTCAAATTCGTAATGGAGCATCCTCAGGGCCTGCGGGATACTGGATCAGTGCATGTGTGATGGGTGTCTGTAGAATGAATGAATGAATGAATGAACGAACGAACAAATGAATGAACACAGCCCCGGGGACACTCAAATTGCTCTAAATCCACCATGGGACACAGTCCATCAACTCTTCGTTACTCACTGTCTGGATCGTCCTGGGAGACTTTTAAGAAGACTGGGAGCTCCGTGGTGACCACTGAGTACTCAGGGACCTGCTCTACTTGTGGGGTCTCTCATGCTGATGGGACTATAGAACGAAAGGCACCCAGCCATGCAGCCTGGGGACATGCGACACAGATCGTCCATGCTTTCCCACGAGGCCTGCCCATTCCCCCCACCTCCTCGCAAGAGGGGGAGGTACGAAAGTAGACAGGCCAGGTTCAAATCCAGGCTCACTGCTTACCTACTATGCAGTTTGGACAGGTCACTGAGCCTTCCACGCCTCGATTTCCTCCTCTGTAAAATGGGGCTAAGAATACTTTATCTCACAGCGTTAGTGTGAGAATCAAAGAAGATCGTGTTGGTGGAGAGCTTGATATGTGCCTTAACAGATGTAGTTGTTGTTAGAATACTCCTTGTAGTATTTGCTGAGAGCGTGGACAGCCCTCCAGGCCACCCTCCACCCGGCCAGTCTGCTGTCTTGCCCCTGCCTGGGAAGCAGGCCCTTTGTCCTGTCTCTGACTGCTGCTTCCTTCCTGCCTGCAGCTTTGAGAGCCAAGTCGTCATCATGAGAGGTGACAGAAGAACCAGGTGAGGGGGGAGAGCTCCAAGGGCGGGGTGGGCACCCCTCTCCCTCTGGTCCCCATTTTCTATACGTACACCCCACCTTAGACCCATGCTGACCATTGCCAGGCCTAGAGTGAGCCCCACCACCCCGCCCCTCCAGGCCCAGCAGGCCAGAAGTAATCACGACTTCTCTCCCCCGTCCCCACCCCATATAAACCTGCAGTTATCAGCACCCTCAGATCTCTCTTGGAAGAAGCCAGTGCGGATGGAGGGAGGGGACCACGGGCAGGGCCGCAGTGGGACCGTGCTGGGGGCCTGCTGCTGTGCGGAAGAGGAGAGGGACGTTTGTGTTTCTACTTCTGGGGGACTTTTGCCGACCTCTGCAGACTCATAGTTTCGTATGAGTCACTGTCTTTTCACACTCTGAAAATCACATTTGAGAAGCCAAGAACCGTTGGTGCGCTGAAAAAGTTTCCACTTCTTTACTGTAAACAATGAACAACAGTTAGTTCTCCACAGATGTTCCCGGCTGCCCCCTAGTGAGGCACCTCGTCTGACTCGGGAGGTTGGCAAGCATGAGGGCCGCCTAATGTGGGGCTGGCTGTGCCGATATGTCAGGGAAGGGCGTTGCCACACCAGGTGGCTGCCTGAAGCCAGGGGTGACCCAAGGCCAGGGAAGTCTTGCTTCTTAGACTAAGGTCTCCATTTCTGGGGACTCTCTGGGTTCTTGGGACTAAAAGAATGGAGGCAGCGGGAGACAGAAGTCCTATGAAGGCCACATCAGGGATCGGAGAGGAGGGACTCTGTCCTGGCTCCCCACAAGCTGGTCAGGCACTGCCCCGCTGGCCAGATGTAAGCTGCCGGCTTTCTCACTCTGGCCTCAGTTTCCCCACCTATACAAAAGGGTCACGCAGGCCCCTTTTAGCCCTGACTGATGAGTCTCATCTTCCAATGTGGATGGTTTGAACTTGCCTCTCAAATGTTTTCCCCACTCCCAGCGATCTGTCAGCTGGTGGGTCCTTGCCAGAGTTCCCAGCGCGAGCCCAGTTCTTGAGGTTTGGTCGGCGCTGCATCCCCCGGAGCTTCTGGTACTGTCTTACCTACTTCTTGTTTGCGGGTAACCAAACAAGGGGATGAGGGCTCAGGAAGTGAAGAGAGTCTGTGGGGTTTGGGTTTAGGGCTGGAGGTTAGGAGAGAGGGAAGAGAAAGTTTGAGGCGAGGAGGGAAGAAAGAGGGGTGAGTATGAGGCCTGATAATGGGGGTGCCGGGCCCAGCATTCTCCTTAGAGCACAGATTGTACATCACTTTCTCTGAAGACTTTCCAGCCCTGCCCTGAGGGCTGTGAGACCCCGTGCGGGCCCCTCCCATCTTGGTTTCCTCACATAAGAGGGCCACCCAAGCAAGGTGGTCCAGAGGAGCGGGGTGAGTGTCCGGGCAGGTGAGCCGGCTTGTGCGGAGGCCCGGAGGAGTGAAAGCTCGGCTCTCGGGAAGCGTTTCAGTGTGGCTGGAGCATGGACAGGGAGAGTGGAGGCGAGTGGGGCCGTGGAAACGGCGTTTCGCTTTCAGAAGGATAGTGGGAAACCACAGAGCGTGTTCGGCACAGGAGAGGCCCGTTCAGACGTGCGCTATGAAAGTTAAGACCCTGGCAGGGTAGAGAAGCATGGCGGGGAAGCAGGAGGGGAAGGCCGGAGGGTAGGAAAGTGACCCAGGTGAGCGGCGATGGTGGCCCGGACCGAGGCGAGACTCAGTGAGGAAGACTTAGGGCTGGACCAGGGCAGCTGGCTACTCGGGGTGTCAGAGTGGTGGAAGTGGGGGCTGTGGGAGACTTAGGGGTGGAGAGTGTGCCCCGCGGGGTGAGGAGGCTGCAGGTTGGGAAGAGGGTTCTTGGGAGAAGGGGCTGCACGTGGGCCCTGAGCCCTCTCTGAAACCCTGCCCTGCCCACTGCCCCTTTTCAGCCTCACGGAGTGTCTGTTGGAGCCCCTGAGGGTCACCCGCCTCTGTGAGACTCTGGAGAAGTGCCCAGGGCCTCTGGAAGTCAAGTAAGTAAGGAGGACACAGCCCCGGGGGGCATGACTGGGGCATCTGCCCAGTGACCTGGGTGGACGATGTCCTGCTTAGAAGCCAGTGAGCCCATTCTGGTTCCTTCCTGCCAGACCCCGTAACCCACAACCCTGTGGATGTTCTCTGGTAGAAGCCTGTTGCTCCCAGTGGCCCAGCTCAGGTACCTCACCCTCCCACAGAGAGGTCGTGCTGGACCTGGGGCTTCACCTTCCCCAGCTGCTCAACTCAGGGCACCAGGAGCCCAGCCTGCCCCCTCCAGCCCTGCAGCCCCACCCCAGCATCTTCCTGGGCCTGCCTCCGTGGTTGGAGCCCGTCACCTCTGAAGGCCCCGCCTCCCCAGCTCTGGTTGACCAGCTCCCCCACCCAGAGCACCTGGGTCTGTGATCAGAGACTGCACTTGGAACCAGGAGTCCTGGCTCAGCCACCTACAAGTGGGGTGACTCTGGGCAAATGGCATTAGCTCACTGGACCTCAGCTTCGTCCTCTGCAAAGTGGACAGTCAGCCTTTCCTTCCATCATCATTGTTATAATTTTATTACAATAATTACCTTAAAATCCAAGACAAACCTACCTCACCTAAACAACCCCTGTCCCTCATCAAGTCAACGATGTCCTCATTGTCCCGATGGCCTTCTACTCCTTGTCCATTTGCATATTCAGTTTTTACCTACTCACAGTCGCCGACTAGCTGCGTTCCACAGTTTTACTCTACATCACGCCATTCTGTGTTTTTCTATTTTATTTGTCTTTTTTCTTGCTGTCTGGCTCCCAACTCAAATGCCTTTCCGGCCCTTGCAACAAGCTCATCCGTGTTGATCACCTGATGTGTGTCCTTCCATGTCTTCCTCCAAATTCAAACACATGTGGACACAGAGGGTTGGGTTTTTGACATTGTTAACAGACACTGGATCTTACCACATAGGGTCTCTGTCCTGAGCTTTTGTCCTGTGACATTGCATCATGGCTTTCCTGGAATATCAAGACATGTTGGAAGAGTTTAAGTCTTGATTTTCAGAAAAGTGGCAAAGCTAGTCCAGAGAATCCCCTCACTCAGTTGCCCCTGGTGGTTAATATCATTCATGGTCATGGTACATCGGTCACAACTAAGAAACGAACCTTGGATGTGACTATTAACTACACTCCAGACTTTACCCAGATTTCACCAGTTTTTCCGCAGATGCCCTTTCTTTGACCCGGAATCCCATCCAGGGTCCCAGATGGCATTCCGTCATGAGTTTTTTTTTCCCCTCCCTGGTCTGTGACAGTTTCTCAGTCTTTCTTTGTCATTCACAACCTCGACAGTTTTGAGGACTACTGGTTAGATATCTTCCAAAGTGTCCCTCGGTTTAGGTTTGACGTTTTCTTCATGACGTTTTCTTAGACTGAGGCTGTGGGTTAGGTGAAGAATCCCGAAGAGGCGAAGTACCCTCCTCATCCCATCTCAGCGGTGGATGCTGTGGACTCGACTTATCACTATTGATGTTGACTTTGATCCCCTGGCTTAGGGAGTGTTTGTCAGATTTTATTGTTGTAAAGTTAATTTTTAATTTAAAGACATTTTTTTTTTTTATCGTGGAGACTTTCAAGCCTATATAAAAGCAGAGGAAAGAGTAGACCCTTAATTCCCCTTCACCTCCCTCAATAATTACCACCTCATGGCCCCAATACACATGCACGCACACACACATACACACTCGCTCACACACACGTTATTGTGAGGCAATTCCCAGACACCTTATAATTTCTCCTGTAGATATTTCAGCACGCGTAGCTAAAAGCTAAGTACTCTATTTTTTAACATAACCACGAACCATCATCAAACCGAAAATATTAACATTATTTTATGACATATTAACATCCTCAAACAGCCTGTCAGTTTTCAGTTGTCCCTACTTATCTCCTATGTGTGTTTTACACAACAGTTGTATATTTGTGCCTTTTCGTACTCCCTCCACAGTTTGGATGTGCCACGGTTCCTCAACCACCCGCCTCTAGAGTCTAGATAGGGATCTGGCAGCTTCCAGTGCTTATTGTTTTTGTTTCTGTTTTGGTTTCGTTTTAATTTGGTTTTGTGAAGAAGTTTTCTTTCTTTCTTTCTTTCTTTCTTTCTTTCTTTCTTTCTTTCTTTCTTTCTTTCTTTCTTTCTTTCTTTTCTTTCGCAGGCTTTCTCTAGGTGATATTCCTTGAGATACTTTGTAGGTGACCTTCCCACATTTTTGTCTATCATCCACATGCCAATGACTCAATTAATTTTTCCAGCTTTGAGTCCTCCTACAGTTCTCAACTTACTTAGCCAACAGTCTATGAGACATCTTTTCTTTAATGCCCAATAAACATCGGAATCAAAGTCTTTAAGACTACTCTCAGCTTCAGTGATTTGCTAGATGGACTCTCGCAACTCAGAAAATCTCTTAAACTCATGATGGTACTTTATTACAGTGAAAAGACACAGATTATATTTAGCAAATGAAAAAGGGACATAGGCTGTAGGCCAGGAGAAATCAGGCACTAGCTACCAGCTGTTCTCTGCCAGTGACATTCTAAGCATACTTGATTCTCCCAGCAACAATGTACAATAACATATATAAAGTATTTTCATTGTTTACCTTTTAACTTTCCCAAAGGTGTACGACCTTCCTTTACTCCAGCCTCCACGCTAACTCAAGGACCCCGTGTTCGGAGGAAATGTTGAGGACAACCCCGGCGTAGCACCCAGCTCCAGAAGGCTCTGGCCGTGCAGCCGTGCTCCTAGCTTTCCCTGGGGCTGCCCCAGCTCATGCAGATGTTTTGTTTCACAGATTGTCCTGTGGGGTCCTGAGTGACCAGAGCCTGGACGCCCTGCTGGGGCACTTGCCCCAGCTCCCCCAGCTGAGCCTGCTACAGTAAGGCTGGTTTGCCTATCTCCCTGCACCACCTGAGGCTCTAGGGTTGCAAAGCCGCCCCCTTTCTTCCCCTCCCTGCTTCTCCTGGGCTGTGTCATCATTTTATCTGGCACAGCTGGGAGGTGGAGTCTGCTTCATACTTTGTCGAACCTGGGGGGATAGGTGTTGAGCCCTCTGGGCCTCAGTTTCTTCATCTGATAAATAGAATTACCATTCTCTCCCCACTGCATGGGCCTCAAACAATATAATTGCTTTAAAAGCATCTTAAAGAATGGAAGGCCTGTGACAGGTGGGCTATTGCACTTCTCTCTTCCCCTGGAAAGGTCACCTGCTCCGAGAAAGGGACTTTACAGATGTAGGTCATATGTATGTCACACACCATTTTTTAAAGGTCACCATCTAACTTCGTAAAAGGGGAACTTAGCAGCATCTCCCCAAATATTTAAAACTCGATTGTCTCATTTCCGCTCAGACCGGTTAGAATTTAAAAAGGATTTTCTTCACATCGTCTAGTGGGCGGGGGGGGGGGGGGGGCAGGTAGGACAGCAGCTACAGCCGAAATGGGAAAACCCAACGGGAAATTAAATCACATCATCAATAACCGCAGCGTACATGCTAATGCTAACCCTGAGAAGGCACGCATCACCCAGGATCTCGCTCACACCTTAGTCCTCTCAGGGACGGAGGGAAGAGACTGTGACATTCCAGAGGTGAGCAGGCATGGCAGAGCTCATGTCAATACCCACAGCACCCACTCTGCCCCCACCCTGCCAGGAGAGAATGGGTCAGGGAGGGCTCCTTTGGACACAAGATGACAGGTTAAAATAAACAGATGAGACAGCTCAGATCAGAGAGGGACTTCTCCATGCCTAAGTAACACAGCATCGGCCCTCAGCTCTTCATCGGTTTTTTGAATGAGGTGGCCAGCTTGACGGTCACCAGGGTTTACACTTTATTACTCAGTCCACAGTGCTTGTGCACAACTGTGGGCAGGAGACACAGCGGTGGGGGGAGATGGTGCTACCACTGCATCTAGGGAGGAGAGGTGTAAATGCTGCGAAGCATCCTACAGGACAGCCCCCAGCAACAGCAAATAATCCAGCCCCAAATCTCAATAGTGCCGAGGGCAATAAACTACTCTGAGAGCTGAAGCTTTTTCCTCCTGTCCTGCGAAGTCTGTGCTTGAAAGTAGAAACAATGTAATAATAACAAGCATGGGTCTCTTGCTAGGCAATGTGCAAGCCTGATATAATTAAATCCTCGTAACAACCCAAGAGGAAGGTATATGAATAGTCCCATTTTCCAGGTAAGGAAACTGAGGCTCAGAGAGTTCAAGTGGCTTGTCCAAGGACACAGAGCCAGTCAGCAGAACTGGGGCTCAAACTCAAGTCTGCTTGACTCCAAGCCTCTGTTTGTCCCTCTTGAGTCCCTGCCTTCCTTATTACTGTGCTGACTTGCCAGCCCTCCAACTTCTGGTCCCTTCTCCTTCAGCCTATCCCAGCTCTCTGCCTACTGATCTTGCTTGGCTTCGACTTGCTGACTTAGGGTCCTGCCTTTTTCTTGCTTAGGCTGAACCAGACGGAACTGTCGCCAGGGAGCCTCTTCCTGCTGGCTAACTTCTTCAGCCTGTGCCCGCGAGTTCAGAAGGTGGATCTCAGGTGGGCATTGCCCTGGGACAACCAAGACCAGTCTTAAAGGGTCGTGCCTGAAGTTTGGTGGGTATGAGGGTAGGATGGAGGCAGTAGGACCCAAGCCAGAGGCTCAGCTTCTGGAAGAGAGGTGCCTGCCCCATGGGGCCTACTGTGGCCAAGGGTGGCTGATCCAGGTGCTGTCTGCTCCAGGTCCCTGTATCATGTGACCTTGCACTTCAGATCTAACGAGGAGCAGAAAGGAGGGCGCTGTGGGTAAGTCAGTCCCCTGGAACCTTGCCCTGACAGCCAGTGGGTAGTAGAGACAAATAGACCTGCTTTCTGATGCTTAGAGCAGGGGACAGACAGCAGAGAATGCGCAGAGCGCTCCTCCAGAAGCACGTGCGAGGAGATTTGTTTCCTCCAACCTGTGGAAGCAAGGGTTCAGAGAGGGCTGGGCTTCGTCAAGGGCAAAGAAGTACACATCAGACTGGACCAGAACTCAGGAACCTGGTCCAAGAAAAAGGACTTCTCAGCCTGTCCACCAGGCTTTAAATTCCAGCTGCGCAAGGACCTGGCACCTTGGGCAAGTTCCTGGACCTCTCCCGTCCTCAGCTTCTGCTGCCGATAAAGGGAGACGCCGTACTGCAGAGTGTTGGCAAGGATTAAATGAGACAATATGTAAAGCATGAGTCTCACAGATTTGAGTGTCTCTCTGCTGCTGACTCCTGAACCAGTGCTCCGCGGTTGCCCAAGTGAGATGGGGGCAGGTATTGCCCTGGAGGCAGGATCGTGGGGCAGGATGGTAACCTCTGAACACAGAGATGATATTTCCGAGAACTATTTGATGCCACTGGCTCACAGAGAGGCCTTGGACCAGACCCTTCTCCTCACTGCACCTCAGCATCCTCAGCTGTGAAATGATAAATAAGAAGAGCTACTATTTACTGGGGATCTGCAAGGCACCATTCTGAGAGCCTTCTACATATCACTTCCTATAAACTTCACAGCTGTGGCCACTGTGCATGTCACACGTGGTAAGGGTTACAGCTGGAACTTGAACCCAGGCTGTCCTACAGTACTTCTAGCCCAGGGGCAGACAGACTTTTTCTGTAAAGGGTTAGATTGTAAATATTTTGGGTTTTGCACTCTGTCTGGTCTCTGTCACCGCTGCTTCACTTCACTGATGTAGCTTAAAAACAGCACAGACAATACGTAAGCGCATGCATGTGGCTGTGTGCCAGTGAAACTGTATTCGTGGACACTGAGATTTGAATTTCATATAATGTTCATGTCATGAACTATTATTCTTCTTTTGATTTTTTTTTTCTCAACCATCTGAAAATGGGAAAATCATCCTTAGCTCACAAGCCCTACAAAAACAGGTGGCCTTGGCTGTAGGTTTTCAAGTCCTGTCCTATCCGACACTGTCCTGTCCTCTCTGACCTCTGGAATGCCTGGATGGTTTCTAAAACACAATGGTTTCCAAAACATAGGACATAGACCAGGATGGATGATTTTTAGGAGGTTGGGCAGATAGGGTAGTTCAACTTCATTGACTTCTCTGTGAGGTCATTATTCCCTCTGTCTGATTAAGGCCAAGGGGAGGACTCAGTTGGGTGTTTACGTGTCTTGAACACATCTTGCTAAGCTCCTTCTTTAACAAAGAGAGAGCCCTCAGCAGGTGTCGATATCTGGCTCGAATTTAATGATGATATTTTGCTGTCGTTTTATGTATTCTTACGCTTATGGTCTGTTTGTGGCATGCAACGCCAGCTTCCCATCTGAGTGAGTGATACAGAGTTTCCTTTTACGATAAATGCGTTAAATAAAAAGAACAAGCTGATTTAAAAATAGGAAGTAAATAAGACTGTAAAAGGGAATTTGGGACTACGGGGAAAATCATGAAGGAGAGTAACAGTGATAAAAAATTTGAAATATTGATTTTAGGAACTTTCTGATTTTAAGATTTTTTTTTTTTTCAGTTGCTGGCTGGCCATAGGGTAGTCTCATTTAATTGTATAGTCTCATTACAGGCCCTTTGAAGGCGAACTTACCATGACTTTTAATTCTAGCATCGATAGCCCTCTGCGAGAGCAGACTTCATCCTATTCTCCTCTACCCTACCCCCGACGTCTGTTCATTAAAATGACCCCAAGAGCTGTAGTTCTCCAACTTGAACTTGAATCACAGTCAGCCGGAGAGCCTTACCCCTGCAGTTTCTGATTCAGTGGGTCTGGACTGGGTTCCCAGAATTTGCATCTCAGCAATTTCCCACTTTGGGAACCACCACCCCAGAGGGAGCATGTAGGTGCCAAGTGGGATCTGCTGTGGGGGAAGGTGGAAGTGGTGAATGCTGGATAGTTCCAGAGACTCCAAGCTTGGGTGAGGCCCCACCCTGGACGAGCTGGGTAGAGCCAGTCTGAGTGGCTCAACACCCCAGCCCCGACCCGTTCCCCTCCCCCAGCAGGTTCACGGGCTGTGGCCTCAGCCAGGAGCACGTGGAGCCACTGTGCAAGTTGCTGAGGAAGTGTGAAGACCTCAGCCAGCTGGAGTAAGTTGGGGGAAGAGGAAGAGAGGAGGCGGGAGAGGAGCCTGGGTGGCATTGGAGGGGGTTTGTGTGCGTGGTATGCCTGTGCGCACACTCAGCACCTCTCAGGACCAGCTAACGGATGCCCAGGACTCTGGGTCACGTCTGTAAGGTTCCCTGGTACCCAGTTCATCCCTCCTACTCCGACTCCCAACATGGTGGGGCTAGTTCAGAGTGTGTCCTTGATCTAATCGGGGGAGTCCTTCCAACAGCAGCACCTTGGCCTTGTGTTGATCAAGGCATCAGAGCTTTGCTGGATGATGGGGACTACAATGAAGGACCCATCGATTTGGTTGACAGGGGTTAAAAGTACCAAGTGCCTCAGCCTGGAGGCGACTGGGTGGGGACCTGTGGGCTCTAGCACTATTGAAAAGTGGCATCTATATGGTCTGTCTTGTGTGCCCAAATAGTGCAGCCCCCACATGGGTAGAAAAATAATAGCTAATACCTACTGAGCATTTCCTCCACTGTTCTAAATGCTTTAAATATTCTTTTTATCCTTCCAACAAACCTAGAAGCCATTGTCCCCATTTTATAGGTGAGAGAGCTGAGGTTCAGAGAGTTTAAGAACTTGGCCAAGGTCACATAGCTAGTTCAATGCAGAGTCTTCACTTACAACCATAAGAGTCCAGCCTAGGACCTGTAGGAATTAAAGGCAGCTGTGTACAAAAAAAAAAAAAAAAGTTTTAAAAAAAATTCCTGTTGTAATGTGGCCAAGAAGAGAAATGTGACTGATGAAAATCATGTATTTTAAAGAAAGAGGAATAAGCAACGCGCCCCTGAGTTTTTCTGTGTTTTCCATTGCAGAGAGCAACTTCTTCTTATTTTAAAGATTATTAAATGACTTCATGAGACAAACTAATTTGCATAGTTTGAAAAAAAAGTTTTAAAAAAAATTCCTGTTGTAATGTGGCCAAGAAGAGAAATGTGACTGATGAAAATCATGTATTTTAAAGAAAGAGGAATAAGCAACGCGCCCCTGAGTTTTTCTGTGTTTTCCATTGCAGAGAGCAACTTCTTCTTATTTTAAAGATTATTAAATGACTTCATGAGACAAACTAATTTGCATAGTTTGTCAGGAAAAGACGAAATAAACGAGCCTCAAAAGTGTCATAATCAGGGACAAAATGAGTTCAAAGATGCAGGACGAAAACCAGGTCTACCAGGGCATGCTGGTTATACTGTCTCTGAAACCGTAGCTAAAACCATAGAATACTACAATGACGGGAAATAGGGAAGTATTCGGTTGCAATTTTTGATGTTGAATTCCCACATGAGAAGAGGAAATCGGTCAGGTAGATGCGTCCTCCAGGCATCTTTCCTTTCCCTGAATTTACTCTTGCTCAAAAATGGCGGCCCCCAGCGGTTTCCAGTCAAGGGCATAGCAGAAGCGCATTGGTTTTTGTCTGACTCCGGAAAGTCTGCCGGAGTCCTGAGAGTGGTCAGCAGATGCTGAAGAAGAGGATAAGGACTGGTCAGCGGGTGCGGGCGAGGGGATAGTGACGCGAAGGCGGAAGCCGTTGGTGGCGGCGCTGGTGGTGGTGACTCTGGTGGTGATCGAGATGGAGCGGGGCACGGTGACGGTGAGGGGACCGTGAGCGTGCCGTGTGGCTGGAGTAGCAGGGATGGGAGCTGAAGAAAAGGCACTGGTGGAGGGGGCACATCTGGCCAGCAGTGACCTCCTCTTACCTCCTACAGCCTCTCAGCCAACCAGCTGGGTGATGATGGACTCAGGTGCCTCCTGCAATGTCTGCCTCGGCTGCCCATCTCCGGTTCACTTGAGTAAGTGACTGTCAGTCTCAAGGACAGCAAAGAGGAAGACTCCCCTGGGCCAAAAGCATGAATTTTGAGGGATCTTTTGAGGGGTCCCTTAAGAACCCCAGAGGACAAGAACTGGGGAGGAAAAAGGGTCCCCACCTCGGGTCCTTTCCTCCTTCTCTCACTGGCCGCCACGGGAAGAGCCCCACCAGACACCCAGGAGAGGCTGCCACCAAAGCTTGGCAACTCAAGCTGACTCCGGGAGGGGAGTGACGGTTCATCCCTAACCAGCTGATGCAAGATCTTAGCTGTCCCAGCTCCTTGGTCTGTCCTGTCCTCGAAACTCCTCTGACCAAGTCTATGGGACACAGAGTTGGAGACACAACAGGGAGGGTCTCTAAGAAGCCATCTGCTCTCTCGCCTTGTCTCCCCAGTGACTGGGGAGACAGGTGGCCAGAGCCAGGACACGCCCCATTGCTAGGCAGCTGGCTTTGTGCTCTGTGTGGGGCTGGAGCTGCCCACCGCCCTGGCCTCATCAGTGCCCTGTCCCACACCGTAAGGACAGCAGGCACAGGACTCAGGGTCTGGTGTCTGTCCTGCCCGTGTGGGGATAGTGTTCCTCGGGCCTCCCTCTGGACCTCAGTGTCTCCACCTGGGGAATGGACGCTTCGACCAGGAGGACTCTCCTCCCGGAGATGACAGCTGGAGGGGAGGAGCCAAGGAGCTGGGCTGGGCAGGGCTGCACTGAGGCGCTGCCTCCCACACCCCCATCCCGAATCTCGCTTCTCCTCCAGTCTGAGTGACAACGGCATCTCCCAGGAAGGCGCCCTGTGCCTGGTGGAGACTCTGCCCTCCTGCTCATGTGTCCGGGAGGCTTCTGTGAAGTAAGGAGATATTGGTGCCACTGGCTGATGGTGGGGGGAGCAAGACCCCGACACCCAGCAGCCCTCCATCCGGATGACTCGGGGAGACCTCTGAGTCTCCGGGGTTCACTGAATGTGGGATTGCAGTCTCCATCCTCTGAGGCTGACATGCCCTGGGGACCAGGGAGGTCATGGGATGGGCAAGGCCAGGTTTTAGCGTCTTCTCCAAATGAGTTGGATCAGCAAGGGCCTCTTCTTCCATGACGTCCCCCGTCCCTTGCCCCTGGTGCCCCAGCCCCTTTCCCTCTGGCGCCCCCTGGTGCTTGGGCCCTGAGGGTGCTGGTAAGCCCCTGGCGTCCTCACACCCTTCTCTGCAGCCTGGGCTCCCAGAAGAGCTTCTGGATTCACTTCTCTCAACAGGAAGAGGCTGGGAAGATGCTGAGGTAATTACTGGTCTGGGGTGACGGGTAAAGTGGAGGGGACAGGGGAGAGGAGGCTCCATGCCTCCTTCTTTGCTGGGCCTCTCTGCCTTCACGCACCCCACTTCACACTCCCTGCCGGGGTTTGCCTCTCCCTCACCCCCACTCCTTCGGTCCTCAGGCCAGGCCTTCACACTGTATTTGTGCCTCTTGGCCATGTCTTAACTATAATCTGGAGGCTTCTGAGTATCGTGGTTAAGAGGTTGAACTCTGGAGCCACCTGGGGGTCAATCCCAACTCAACAACTTCTAAGCCGCATGACTTTGGGCAAGTGGCTTCACCTCTCTGCGTTTCAGTCCCTCATCTGTTATTGTGATGAGTAAACGAGTTAATATGTATCAAGTGGTAGGAAAGGGCCTGGTTCATCTGAGTGCCATATCAGCTATCACTATTATTACTGTTGTTATTCTCATCATTATTATTGTTGTTGTTTGTGGTTGTGGTGGTGGTTGTGGTTGTGGTTGTTACCCCCTGGTAGCCGCGGGCTCTGTCTCTTTCTCAGCCTCACCACCACTGCTGTGGGTACATGTCTTACTTCAGCTGTGATCACGGCCTCCAGACCGGCCCGCTGCCTCTGGCCAGGCCTCCTCCAGTCCGTTTGCCCCACAGCACCCAGTGGGACCTTCCTAGTACACGCGTCTGACTGCGCCGCTCCACCGCTCTGAGCCCTTCCGTGGGTCCCCATTGCCCCCAGGATAAAGCTCAAATTCCCTCACAGTCTGATTTGGCTGTTACCTCCCACCGTGTTCCTCCTCAGCCGCCCCACCACACACACACACACACACACACACACGCACACACACCCCACATACACATACCCCACACATAACACATACACAATGCGCATATCACATACATACCACACCACACACACCACACACAGGCACGCACATATTCAGCCTTTGCTTCTCATTCACCAAGCATGTACTGTCTGGGGAAGCGTCCCTGTCCCTAGGCGCCCAGCCTGACCTCCTCTTCCCTGCCCTTTCTAAGATGAAATGCTCCCAACCCTTTCAGACCCAGCTCAAATGTCAGCCCCTCCTGGAGAACTCCAGGGCCCTCGTCTGTCAGAACAAACGGCCATGGTGTTGCGCCAGGCCCCCTTCTCCGCCTGTCTGTGAGGCCGTGGTCTGGAGCTTGTCTGCTGACCAAACAGGGCAGGGCACCTGGAGGGTGGGGCCACAGTGAGAATCCCAGGCCCTCCTCCCTCCAAGGGAGCCTGGAATAAAGTGGTATTGGGGAGTAAGGGAGTCGTTATGTGTTTGGGGTCTGGAGTTCAGGCTGAGCTGGATCGAAACCCAACTCTACCCTTACTTCTGACCAGATCCGTGTCTTTGGGTTAGTCAGTTTCTCCACCCATAAATGATGCTGTTGAAATGAAATGAGATACTGCATGTAAGGCAGGCATGCCTGGTTGCTCACCATGTGCACCCAGAGGCTGGCACAGGGCCTGGCATACAGTCATGGCTCAATAAGTGACACTTCTAGCATTTTCTTGTTGGGTGGTCTCTCCAAAGAGACAGGAAGTTCCCAGGGCAGGAGCTGTGTCTTTGGCTTTGCTCCAGGCCTTTGAACTCGGCGAGCACCAGCTCCGAAGGCCCCGGGGGAAGCTGGGAAGAAGTAGGACAGCAGCCTTGGACAGGCCTCACCCAGGCTCTGTCCTTTGCCCTCTCCCCTCTGCCCTCAGGCTGAGCGAGTGCGGCTTCGGGCCAGAGCATATGCCCAGACTGGCCACCGGCCTGAGCCAGGCCCAGCAGCTGACAGAGCTCACGTAAGTGACAGGGCCCAGCCCATGAGGGTAGCTCCCTGCCAGAGCCACCATCGTAACCTACCTCTGTCCCCAGGCTGACCCGGTGCTGCCTGGACCTGCAAGACCTGACTGTCCTCCTGAGTCTGGTGACAAGGCCAGAGGGGCTGCTCAGTCTCAGGTAGTATCTTCCTCTGGGGCCCGGGCGGGGCAGGGGCGGGGCAAGGTGGGTGCCCCCAGGATCAGGGCCCTGGCTGTTCCTACACTTAGAACCCTGCCACCTGAACCGAGCTGACCCTGCTCATTTGTCCTAGAGACCCCCCCCAGGCACACAGAGAAGCCACCCTCTCCAGGGCGGAGCCTATGCTTGGGGTCTTAAGAAATAAAAACTCTAAAGGACACCCAGCCGAGGTCAAAAATAACAACTATCATGTTCGTGTGTTTCACTGTAATCATTTTAAAACTTTCAGAGAGAGTACCAAAGAGTAAAATCACTTTGAAAATAGATATTCCCATCACCCGGGTTTGACAATGATTTCTATTTTTCCAATTTTTTTTTTTATTTTGACTTAAGTGTTTTAAGGTAAGTTACGGATCTCATAAACTATCACTCAAATATTGCACCGTGACGCCTTAAAAAATAAGAACATTTCCTACATAATCGCAGGTGAATTAGGACACCTACAAAAATTGGTAGAATTTTCCTCAGTGTCATGTATTATTACCTCGTCCCATCTAAAATGTCCCCAAATGGGACAGCTGGCTTATTGGATCCAGGATGCAGTCAAGGTCCACATTTTGCACGGGGTGGTGACAGTTTTTTAGGACGCGGTTCATGCCCTCCTCTTTCATGTCAGTTTCTGGCTCTGTCTGGTTATTTCCTCATGACGTCGTTAAGCCCATGACTTTCCTGGAACTGGAAGTCAGATCACAGGCTCGCTGAGGTTCAGTTCCCTATTTGTGACCCAAAAACTTATTTCGTATCCAGTGCTGGTCACTTCTCATCGCAGCCTGCGATGAGGCTCATAAAGTCTGGTTGCTCCTCAAAACAACATCTTTTTAAATTGTGGTATAATACACGTAACGTCAAATTTACCATCTTAGCCATTTTCCAGTGTCCAGTTGAGCGGGGATAAGTGCATTCACATCAGACAACCACAACTCTTTTCTTCTTGCAAAATTCAAACTCTGTCCCCATTAAACAATAACTCCCCATGCTCCCTCCTCAGCCCCTGGCGACCACCATTCTACGTCCAGTCTCTGTGGATTTGACTACTCTAGGGACCGCGTAGAAGTGGCATCATACAGTATTTGTCGTTTTGTAAATGGCTCTTTCACTTAGCACAATGCCCTCTACGTTGTAGCGTGTGTCAGTACTTCATTCCTTTATGTGGACGAATAATATTCCATTGTGTGGAATATATCACATTTTGTTTATCCAGCCATCCGTTGATGGACACATGGGTTGCTTACACTTTTTGGCTATTGTGAATCATGCTGCTGTTGACATAGGTGTACAAATATCTCTTTGTATCTCTGCTTTCAATTATTTGAGGTGTTTACTCAGAACTGCTGGATCACCCCCAAAATAACATTTTTAAATAAAACTTGTCTTCCTCTAAAATAACATATGCTAACTGTAGAAATTTGTGGAAAGTCCATAAGAGCCTAAGAAGAAAATAGCACTTTGAAAAAATTTCAATATACTTTTAAAAGCAGGAATATTTTAAACAACTCTTTTTTCCTGCTTCTAATTCATGCATGCATGTCGTAGAAAGTTCAGAAAATATTGAAAACTAAGGAAGAAATAAAATAACCATTCACGAGAATTTTGTCATCTAAACAACTACCATTAACATTTAATATATTTTCCTCAACACTCTCTCTCTCTCTCTCTCTCCCTCTTTCTCTCTCTCTCTCTCCATGTGAGTTTTATCCCTCTGCATATAATTTTTTTATTTTTCAAATGCAAAATTGGGATCATGTTTTATACAGTTTTATTTCCTTATCTTTGCAATGTAACATTATGTGGACTCTTTTTAATCTAAAAATATTATTTTAAAAAAGCACATTTGCTGTTTAGATTGTTGCAGCAACTGTTAGAATATGTATCTTAATCTCTTGTGTTATGCTTATGCCATTGTATAATTTTATAGTTTTAAAATAAGCAAAAATCAAAAAGTCTCTAGGACCCTCCTGGCACTCTCTTCCCTCCCCCTGCTCACTCAGGGGACCTTCATCTGTGTGTGCTTCTATGACAGGGTGGAGGAGCCGTGGGTGGGCAGAGCTGGGGTGCTCGCCCTGCTGAAAATCTGCACCCAGGCCTCAGGCAACATCACCGAGATAAGGTGAGTCCAGGGAGGAGACCCCCTCGGAATTTTCATCTCCATGATTATTGGGACCTTCCCTCACCTAGACATCGGGCTCTTGTCCTGTGGGGTAATAGCTATGTCACTAGTGAGTTCTCTGGGTCTCCAAGATGGCAGGAGCTCCTGGAGCGTATGTAAGGGGCTACACATGCTTGTTGGGACTTGTGCAGTAGCCAACAGGCAGTGCCAGAGAGAGGAAAGCAGGCCCAGATTCAAGACAAAGGGCTGTCTGATCCCAAGACGCGACAGGGAGTCCACGCTGCTCGCCTGAAGTGGCCCCTGGATTACAGTAACACACACAGTGGCTCTGTGCCCAGAGATGACAACATGATGGGGAGTAGCTAAGAGCAAAGGCTTCGGTGTCCCACTGACCTGTGCCCAGATCCTCATGGGTCTGGGAGCTCAGAGTCAGTCAGCCGGGCAGCCGCGATCCCAGCTCAGCCTACATAGGAAAACAGCCATAGGGCTCACACCGGCTGTCTCTTTCCTTCCAGTATCTCTGAGACCCAGCAGCAGCTCTGTATCCAGCTGGAATTTCCCCGTCAGGAGAACCCGGAGGCCGTGGCCCTCAGGTGGGATCCAGTACCTGTGGCCCCCAGGGAGTGGCCGGTGATGCATTGGTGTGGGGGTGGGACACTGCTGCTTCTGACCAATATTTCTCGTGCCACTGCTCAGAGTCCTTTGATGTCCAAAGTCTCTATATGGCCCATGAAGTCTGGCTCAATATGCCTCTCCATGCTGTCCATTCCCACCCCGGCCTCAGCTCCGGTCTTCCCCACTGGCTTTCAGTTCCTTGCTCCCTTTGACCTCAGGGCCTTTGCATAGGCTGTTCCTTACCCAGAAGCTTCTCTCTTCCCTTCCCCTCTTCCTCCTCCTTCACCTGGCAAACTCTCCCTCATCCTCAGGTCTCAGCTTAAATGCCCCTCTGAACCCCCAGATTTAGTCAAGCCCTCCCATTATCCACTCTTATAGATGTGTAGCTTCGCAGTACCTCTAATCCATACAGCACATTTTTGGAAATTAAAATGTCATCCCTTTTAGGTGAATGCAGCCCTGTAGGTATACATTCTGGGGAACAGCCCATAGCTGGATCTCAGCCCCAACTCACCTCCTTGGCTAGGTTCTTTCGTGCAGCAAACAACCTGCACAGACAGATGCCCGATCTGCCTCCCCTTCATAGCTTCGTATCACTTCCCATAATTAACTAGTAAATCATGGGGCCTTATTTAATTAGCATTTATATAGCCCCTCAAGGTAAGCTCCTCTCAGGCAGAGATTGAGTCCCTAATACTGATCCAGCAGGTGTTCAGACACTGCTGCCTCCCTGTTGACCTGCAGGTTGTCTCACTGTGACCTGGAGACCCACCACAGCCTTCTCGTCAGGCAGCTGATGGAGACATGCACCAGGCTGCAGCAGCTCAGGTCAGCACCCTGAAACTCTGCCTGGGGCTCTGAGCTCTCTGGTCCACCCAGTGCCCGCTACAGGCCACATGTGAGAGCCTGGCCAGGCCTGGCTGGGGACGAGCAGAGCCTGGGGCAGTGCCAGGCCCCGGGGAATTTTTTGCTTCCCTGTGCACGAGAGAATCACACTTGGCCAGGGTGCTATAGGGGAGAGCTGCCCCACTGGGAGCTCTTGGGTGGTCCTTTCCCCTCTTGCTCCCCGCCCCCATCTCTATTGAGGGATGACCCTTGAGGTCGTCCAGCCTGCAGTCCTCTGGAATGCACTTGGCCCTTTTCAGCTTGTCCCAGGTGAAACTCTGCGATGTGAGCTCCTTGCTGCTGCAAAGCCTCCTGCTGGCCCTCTCTGAGCTGAAGAAATTCCGGTACGCAGACCAGACGGCCAGTTGGCCAGTTGGGCTCCTTGCGGCTCTGCCCTGTCCCCACACTTCCTGTTCTCCCCAGACTGGGCTCAGATGAACCCTGTGTCTGCAGCCGTGGGCTGGGACCACACGTGGCCCTGGACGTGGTTTCTGGGTGTGTGGCCATATCTGTGAAAGTAATTCCCTTTTCAGTATTCTTTTTCTTTTCTTTCTTTCTTTTATTTTTTTGAAAAAAAAAATTGCCAGCTAATAGAAAAGTTTCAAGAAGACTAAACTTCCATACACCCTTTTCTCAAATTCACCCTTTGTCAATATTATTTCACATTTTTTTCCTCCCTCCCTCCCTTCTTCCGCTCGCTCCCTCTTTCTCACTTCTTTTGAACCATTTGAAAGTTGCAAAATCATGCCCCTTCGCCCCTAAATATTTCAGTGAATTTCCTAAGAGCAAGGACATTCTTTCCCATCGTCTGGGAAAAAACATAAAATTCAAGAAATTTCACATCGATACACAACTCTTATCTAAACTACAGTTTACATTCCGGTTTTGCCGATTGTCCCGATAATACTGTTTGTTACATGTTTTCCAGTCCTGGACTCCATTTAGGATCTCAGGCTACATTCAGGTGTCACCTCTCTTCAGTCTCCTTCGGTGTGAGACAGGCCCTTGGCCCTTTGTCTTTCGCGATATTGTCTTGACCTTCGCCTGGTAGTTATTTCGCAGACTGTCTTTCAACTTGGCTTTGTTTGATGTTTTCTCATGCTTAGATTCATGTTCCACATTTTGGGCAGGAATATCACACAGGTGCCGTCATGTTCTTCTCGGTGTGTCACATCAGGAGGCACATGATGTCTCTTTGTCCCCTTACCGGTGACGTTAACTGTGATTACCTGGTTAAGGTGGTGTCTGCCAGGTTTCTTCACTTGCAAAGCTACTATTTTTCTCTTTCTAATTCTAACATTCGAACAAATATCTTATGCGGAGATACTTTAAGACTATGTAAACATCCTGTTCTCCCTCAAACTTCCACCCACTAACTTTAACATCCGTTGATAATTCGCGCCTGAGTCAAATACCAGCATGATGGCCGCAGAACAGAGTTTTTCTATCAGTTCTATTTTAATCCACTGATTGCATCAAGGAGGAAGTCTCCTTCTGCTGCCAATATATTGTTAATATCTCTCCAATACTTAACTACATTTTTGTCACTTAAAGAGACAGAGCTCATGATAAATGACAGCAACTAGCTAGACTTTACGGTAATGCCCAATTATGGCATAAATTGTGAAGTTGCTCCCTAAATGATTGTGGGTTAGAAAAATGTTCAACTAGTCCGTGCTCCCACCTTTAGGCTGTATGTTGGCTTAATGATCCCAAGGAGGAAAGGAGAGCCCCCTCCCACTGTCCCCCAGCACCGCTCCCCACCCGCCTGCTTGCCCTCCGTCACCAGCATTTGGGGCTCCTCAGACCCAGAGCTCCTACCTGACCTGCTGCTCTCTAACCCCCACCAGGCTGGCCTCCTGCTGTGTCAGCTCCCAGGGCCTGGCCCACCTGGCATTTGGTCTGAGCCACTGTCACCACCTGGAGGAGCTGGAGTGAGTGGAAGGGTGGAGGCTTCTGGGAAGGGATGGCCCAGCTGAGGGCAAGGGGTGGAGAGGACAGTGGGGCCTTTGGTGAATAGTGGACGTCAACCAGTCCCTTTGATGAAACCCAGCGACTCGGTGTGGCCTGCAGAAGGCTGAGCTCTGTGGTCTCAGCCCCAGCTTCACCACTCGCTCAGAGTGAACCTGGGCCAGTAACTGTGCCTCTCTAGGCTTCATCTGTAAAATGGGGTCATAACCTTTCTCTGCCTGGAGGGCTGTGGGTGTCGGGGTACAGAGAGAGCTAAGGGGCAGAAGGAATCATTGCACGAGTGTGTGTGTGTGTGTGTGTGTGTGCACGCGTGGGTGTGTCTTTTCGCAACCCTCTTTTGCAACCCTCATCCAGGACATTCTTTCTTAGCTGAGTCAGCTGTGACCGCCATGCCCCCCTTTTCAGGGATCCAGAGCCTGACCCTTGGCACCAGGAAAGCCCCCATGTAGCCTGGACAGGACGCATGATCTACAATTGGCTCCTTGAGGGGACTGAGGAATTGCGGGGGGCAGGGCTAACAAGACAGTTCGGGGATCTGGGCAGGCTTGTCTAACCCTCAGTTCGTTCTCGGTCCCCTGCAGCCTGTCGAACAACCAGCTTGGCAAGGAGGACACCAAGGTGCTGATGGGGGCCCTTGAGGGCAAGTGCTGGCTAAAGAGGCTTGAGTAAGTGGCTGTGGTTAATGGGCGGCGGGGGAGAGGGTGTCCAGGAACCATCTCATCTCCTGTGAACACAAACTTTCCAGTCAGTCCCTGGGGAGACACTGGTGACCTGAATGCCCTCCATCTTACTTCATGACCTGGCTCTCAGTGCCATCGAAATGCTTGATCACAGAAAGCAGCATACTCACTCCAAGAGACCCAAGCCAGAAAAATTTGGGCTCATGTCACAGAAAATTACAAGGCAACTGGCTTCAGGCTTGGCTGGATCCAGGTTCTGTAGTTGTTTCCCCCATCCCCCATCCTCTCCCCTGTCTGTCTGTCTCTCTGTCTCAACTTCATTCGCAGGCAGGCTGTCCCTGCGTCTCACTTTCGATCAGCTTAGTGGAGAGGGAGCTCTTTTCTCCTTATCCTTCCAAGGAAAGGCCCTGGGTTGGGTCTCATGGGACTAGCTTGGGTCACATGGCCTTCCCTAAACCAATCCCTGTGGCTCTGAGCACAATATTCTGACTGGCCAGACCTGGGTCACATGCCCACCCAGTTCTGGACTCAGTGGGGGGTGGTATTTCGGGGCACTATTAACAGGAAAGGGAAACAAACTCTGGGCAGAAAAAAATCCACGGATGTCCACTGCCGTTTGCCTCTTCTGTATACGTAGTAACTGGCAACTTGTATTCTCACCTATAGTTTGGAGTCACCAAATTCTCAGAAACACCAGAAACAGCCTCAGGCTGAAGAACAGGTCCCCCCATCTTGCGTAGACTGAGCAGCATCTAGAGGGCACATTTCGCAGGGCATTTTCTGCTTTTGATTTCTGTTTTTCTGAACACCAAAAATACACACACGTTATAAAGTGTTCCATCATGACAGAAATATGTAACAAAGGACATGACATCCTCTGACAGTGACACCCCTGGGAAAAACTTCTGGGAAAAAAGCAGTTGGTGAACTTTCCTCCAGATTTTTTTGGACATATGTTTTGAATCCATTTTAAATGGAGTCTTCTGGCTTTCTGTCCCTCGACAATGAAAATTTCCCACTTTGTCCTTCTTCGCTTGTCCCCTGGAGGACGGGGGTTGGGAGGGGCGGGGGGTACAAGGAAGCGGGTGGATCCTCACTGCCCAGAGGCCTTTTCCAGTTTCAGATCTGTCATTTCTGAATGTCTCCTCCCTGACAAGCAGTTCGCCTCACACATCCAGCCAGCATCTTGCACTTGCAATGGTTAAGGGCATGGATCCCGGTTGGGAGCCACACCATCCAGGTTCCATGCTTAGTAGGGTGACCAACTGTCCCAGTTTGCCCGGGGCTGAAAGTCCTACATACTGGAAAACCTTTCGATTCTAAGCAAACCAGGACAGTTGTCACCTCTCAGCTCTACCTCTTTACGCGTGAGCTTGGGGAGGTTACTCAACTTCTCTGTGCTTTTTTCTTTATTTTATTATTATTATTATTTTTTATTATGGTGACATTGGTTAACAAAATCCAGTAAGTTTCAAGTGTACACATCAACAGTAAGGCGCATTTTAATTTTAGGGATAAGAGCTGCATCTTTTTCCTCAGGTGATTGTGGGGATTAAATGAGATAATACTTGTTAAGTCCTTAAAACAGAGCCTGGCACAGAGTTCTCACTTAACAAGTATTGGCAATTATTGTTATGATTCTCCTCTCCTGCTGGGGCCAGGGGCCGGAAGTAGCAGGATCCCATGAGTGACATGTGGTTGGAGCCCAGGAATGAAAACCCTACAGCCTGGGGTTTTGTTCCTGATTCTGTCCCTTTCTGTGTGTGACTCTGAACAAATTTTGTAACTCTCTGAACCTCAGTGTTCCTCCTCTGTCAAATGGGGACAATAACAGATCCATGTCTCGGGATAGCACGGAGCCCCGTGCTTGGCCCATAGTATATGCTAGATGTGTGGTCGCTATGGTTACTGATCAGTAGTCTGGATCCAGTGTGATTCAGAAATAGAACTGCCGCTTGGGTGGTCTTAATACTCCGTGCAGAGAATCAGCATCTGGATCCCCCAGGGCAGTTTCGTACAATATTTTACACTGCACGGATGTAAGCGGCCATCTTGGCAGTCCCTGGGTGTTGCTAAGCACTGGGTCCTCAAGCAACTGGACGGGACGGGCCTTAGTCTGCACCTGGGACCCAACCCCAGTGATGCCAAGTCCTCCTCTGGCCTCCTCTCCTCCAGCCTCAGCAACTTCCTGCTGGGTGGGCCCACCCTAGCTGTGCTCACTGAAGGACTAAGCCACATGACCCGCCTGCAGAGCCTCTGGTGAGTAACCCTGTGGGAATGCATGGGAGGGTGCACTCCATGCCCTGTTGGGCCCACCGCACAAGGAAGCACTGGGGGCCCCTCCTCAAGGACCCTCGGTGCTCTTGTCCTTGGGATGTTCTTGTACCCTGCCAGGTCAGTGCCAGGGCCCTTGCCTTTTAATGCCTCCAGCTTCTACTTGGCTACGAAAGTGACCCAAAGGGTTGTGGCCAAGTCCTAGAATACCCCTAACTGTGCACAGATTCGCCCTGTATTCTGGTTCACATTTCTGGGTCCATGGGTCTGGGTTGCCTAGATTCTGTGTTTCTGACACACTCCCAGGCGATATTAATTCTGGGTCCACAGACCATACTCTGGTGACCTTGATATTCTCCAGAGGCCCTGACCACTTCGATAAACGAACATCACGCGCTCTTTTCAAAACATAAAATATGGTAACTAAAAACAAACCCAAGCTTGACACAAAGCATTGTTTTGTTTTTATCCAAGTCCCCACCCCCACTCTGGCAATGTAGTGTGCATAGGAGATGAGTTCAGAGAATTTGGGGGAGCATGTCATAGGGGAGCAGGTCATTTCACCCAAAATGAATTCACCGAAAGGCAGTTGGCAAAAATTTAATTTGCAAAACAAAACAGCCCCCAGACGCATATTTACTGCAAGGCTAAGTTTGCATCAGCTGTTTTTTGTTTTTTCCCACTCAGAGGCGGGGTGAGGTCAGGGTGCACAAAAGACAACAAATTAGGTTTAAGGAAAACCCCGCCATTCGCATAGATTAGAGCAAGATGCGCCTGTGGAACGGATTTGCCTGAACTGTGGAACCCACGTGAAATTGTCCTGGAGACCCCTGACACGGGCTGAGGCCAAACCAAAACACGTGGCCACCTCTCCCAGGCCAGCAGACCTGTGTCCACTTTGCCTGCGAGTCATTGGGGATTCTTGGGCCAGTCATGGCACCTCCCTGGGCCTCTGTTTTCTCACCTGGACATTGGGTACCGTCATGCCCGCCTTGCCTGTCCTTCTCCTCCTCAAAGTTTTGTGACTGGCACGAGCTCCTGGACAGGTCAAGGCTTTGCGAAGCGCACGGTTCAGCGCCCGCAAAGGCCTTTTCTCCTGACTAGGCCTCGTGGCCTATTTCCCGCTTCTCCAATCTGAGCAGGAACGACATTGGTGACGTCGGCTGCTACCACCTTTCCAAGGCCCTCAGAGCTGCCACCAGCTTGGAGGAGCTGGGGTGCATTGCCTGTCCCTCCCCTGGGCCCAAGACAACTTTGGCAGGGGAAGATGACAAAAGCAAGGAGCTCCTTGAGGACACTCGTCCCTTTCACCCACTTCCTCACCGCATAAACCCAGACTTAGAACCTCGTGGACCCACAGATAGGATGTGGGAGTGCCGATTGCAGGATTGCAGCCAGAGGGATTCGGGGCAGATGTCAGGGAGACCACAAACACAAGATGAGGGTTTGGCGCCCTCACCCGGCTTAGGGGGTGGAGCTTTATCAGTGTGCGCTCAGGCCTCGCTCTAGACGCAGCCTGCTCCTCTTCTGGGACGGAGACAGGGACGAGATGACGTGGGTGGCAGGCCGATGGTTCCAATTCCGCCGCTGTTCTCTCCCCCAGCTTGAGCTACAACCAGATTGGAGACACTGGTGCCCAGCACTTAGCTGCCGTCCTGCCGGGGCTGCCTGAGCTCAGGAAGATAGAGTGAGTGCTGGCCCTGCTCATCGGGGCCCTTGGAGGCTGCCCCGTGGCCCAGGGACACACTGGCTTCTGGCTCAGGCTGACATTCCTACCTCAACTTCAGTGTCCAGGCAGTGGGGTTGGGTTACCTCCTGGCCCTGCTGACTTTGGGACCTTGAGCCAGCCCAGCCCCTGCCCCTCTCTGGGCCATTCTGCCCCATCAGGCTAAGAGGGTGTGTGTGTGTTGCAGGAGGGTGCTGTCTCTTAGGGACCCAGTAGATGCGGGGGTGGGGGAAGTGGGGGTTCTGAGGGTCTGACACCTGCCTCTCCCTCAGCCTCTCAGCAAATAACATCGGCCCGGCTGGGGGCGTGCAGTTGGCGGAGTCTCTCACCCTTTGCAAACACCTGGAGGAGCTGATGTGAGTGTGTTCCCAGGTGGACTGACTGCCCTCTGCCCTCTGTGTCCCCACGGCCTACCTAGCCCTTGTCTCCCCTGATGGACACAGGGCAGGGTGGGGGTCTAGGGCAGGCTGGCCCCGTGCTCACCCTCATACCTTCTCTTTTTCCAGGCTTGGCTGCAATGCCGTGGGGAATCCCACAGCCCTGGGGCTGGCCCAAGGGTTGCCCCAGCACCTGAGAGTCCTGCAGTGAGTGTCCCGCTGCCCATGGTGTGTGCAGGGCGGCTAGCAAGGCAGGGTTTGGCCGGGAACACTTGGCGGTCGAGGTCCTCATCGGCTGAGCGGCCCTGCCTTAGGGCAGAGTACCAGAGCTGGCTGCCCCATGCCCTGCCTGCTCCTGCCCTGCCTCTGGAGTCTGGGGCAGGGAAATCAGGAGCTACGGCCTAGTCCTGGCTCTGCCACTAGTCCCTGGGTGCCCATGGCCAAGCCCCTGCCCCTGCTGAATTTCAGTTTCCTCATCTGCAAAATAATTACAACAATCCCAGCTCAGGGACCTCTGAGCCTATCTCTGAGGGTGAGCCAGGAAGTGGCGGCAAAGGGCCACACGGGAGCAAAGTGCCAAGGAGCACGGCCCCAGCACTTTACAGTTTATGTCCATGGTCTCATCTGAGCCTCACAGCAGCCCCATGGGGCCTGGATTTCTATTTGCTCCATTTTACAGACAACGGAATTAAAGGGAGGAAAGGTATGGCAAGATCACCTTATCACTACATGGAGGAGCCAGGCCTTGAACTTGGCATCTCAAAGCCCAAAGCCAGGGCCCTTGATACCCACCCAGGTCCTGTATGGGTGGGGAAGAGGCTTGGGATAGCAATTCCCCAGAAACGGTCTAAGGTTTGGTGGTACAGCCTGAGACAAGGCTGAGGGTGAGGGGATCCAGCCCCCAATCCCCACACCTGGTTCCCCAGGCTCTCCTCACCCTCTTCCCTTTCCCCAGCCTGCCATCCAGCCGTCTGGGCCCAGAGGGGGCACTGAGCCTGGGCCAGGCCCTGGATGGGTGCCCACATCTGGAAGAGATCAGGTGAGTAGGGAGCGTGGAGCATGGGCAGGGGGACAGGCCGAGGAGGGTCTGCAGATTCCTCTCACAGGTGTCTGTCTGCCCTGCAGCTTGGCCGAGAACAGCCTGGCCGGAGGGGTCCCACATTTCCGTCAGGGGCTCCCACTGCTCAGGCATATAGAGTAAGTAGCTTCCTCTGACTACCTGTGGGGCTGGAGGTGGGAGGAAGAGGCAGCCTTTCCCTGGCTGAGCCTGACACCTGGGAGATCCTTGAAAGTGACAGAGGCCTCAGGTACAGAAGGAGCCTGGGGTAAAAAGGAGCACTTTCCTAAAACTCCCACCCTGCCCTGATCCTGGCCACTCCACTCCCTCCGGGGGAGAGGGGACGCTGGAGATGCTCTGGCCTGGGACACCTCCATCCCGCCCCTTCTTTTTCCCCAGCCTGGTTTCGTGTGATATTGACAACCAGACTGCCAAGCCCCTCACTGCCAACTTCGTGCTTTGCCCGGCCCTGGAAGAGATCCTGTGAGTGGCGAGGAGGGCCCTGAGCTGGGAAAGGCAGGCATCCGGGGACTTGGCCCCGCCCACCCTCCAGCCAGGAGCTGGTCCCTTCCCCCCAGAGGTTCTCCCATCTCGCTCAGACCTCCTCTAGAGGAAGTTTTAACACTTGAGCTGCGAGTGACTCTGAGCAAGGCCACTCAGCCTTCCTGCCTGTTTCCTCACCTGGCGGGAGGGGAGGTGCCCCAGACGGTCTCCAAAGGCTCTTTGCCCTGACCTTCCCTCTGCAAGGTGGCTGGATGGACCAGCCTGGTTTACGGAGCCTTAAATTCTGAAGCAGCTGTTGGTAATAAAGAGTGGCTGAAGCCAGCAAGTCCCCGACCTGCCCACTGGCCCTGCCCACTACCAATCCCCTGTTGGCAATTAGAGGTGCTGGGACCTCGGGGCTTTGCTGCACTGCCTCAGGTCACCTAGACTGCCAGGACTAGCCTGGGACCCTGACCACAGTATGGAAGAAAATGCTATTTCCTAAAGTACAGGGTCCAAGTGATTATAAGATTTCACATTTACACCCGAAAGATTTTAACTCTTGTCATTACACTGAGGGGAAAGTCTCAGACCAGCACTAACTCATGTCTAACCCCTGACACTGGTGATTCTCCCTGTTCTGCCAGCAGGGGGCAGGCCACAGCTCAGCACCTTGGGAAGGACATAAGTTCCAGCTGGAAGTTAATACCGTAGTTTGCATTGTATTTATCCTAAATATAAGTTTTCCACTGATGATAATGATAATGTTTCCTCAGATTAATTTCTTAAAGTTAAAAGAAAGAGGGGAGGGAGGACCGATCGAAAGAAAACCATGAAACAAATGATAATACAGGAAGGGCCCGGATGGGACATAGTTGTGAAGGAGGCCCGTGCATGGTGGAAGTTTGCCGCGTGACGTTGCTCCCGCAGGCTACGTGTTCTGAGCTCTTGAGACAGCCAGGTCCTGAGCTCTCTGGGTTCTTGAGGGGTGACCAGCTTGGGAATGGGGTTGGGGGAGGAAGGGTCTTTGGGGAGGGCACATGAGCGTCCCATCAGAGGGACCCTCTTGTACCTGCACAGCACCACGCCCCCCGGGGGTCCCAGCTCTCCCCACCTGCCTCCATGTCTTCACCCCTCGACCTCACTGCCTTCCTGCCACTGACCTTAGGTCCCCTACCCTGCAGGCTGTCCTGGAATCTGCTCGGGGATGAAGCAGCTGCCGAGCTGGCCCGGGTGCTGCCACAGATGGGCCGGTTGAAGAGAGTAGAGTATGAGGGGACAACCTGGGAGGCCGGAGGGGGCAGGGAGGGCCAGAAGGGGACCTACATCCTGGGGAAAGCCAAGGGCCACTGGGTCAGGACTCTGCCTTCCAGGAAGCCCTCCTTGACTTAACGCACAGATCTGCTCCAAGCCACTGCCCAGCTTAGTTCTCCCTGGGTCCCGGTCTTCATTCCTACTGTACTGCTGTCTGTTGAGTTCTCTGAGCAGTTGTGTGGGGAGCCCATGTGCCCCCATCTCAGCCTGGGGAAGGGACATAGGGAAGCCCCTCCCCGCATCTCATGCCAGCCTCTCTCTTTCCCCTTCCTCCGCGGTCCATTGGGAAGCCTGGAGAAGAATCGGATCACCGCTCATGGAGCCTGGCTCCTGGCCGAAGGGCTGGCACAGGGGTCTGGCATCCAAGTCATCCGGTAACAGGGGCTTGCAGGGGGAGCGGGGAGCCCACACCAACCCCTACAATGTCAGGGACTCCCTGTAGGAGGAGGCAGCACCTGGGTTGGGGATTATCAAGGAGACTCCGACCCCTCCACCGAGATTTTGGCAGCTAGCAGACCTGGGTCAAATCCCAGCGCTGCCATCCCCCGATCGTGTAAGTTCGCATCAGTAACTCAACCTCTCTGAACCTCAACATCCTCGTCTACGATATGGGGATAATGATAGTATCTACCCGTGAGGATTAAGAGATTGTATAAAGCACTGAGCACAATTCCCGGCACGTAGTCAGCACTTAAAACGGTAGCTCTAATCAGAGCCGCCACGTACAGTCGTATAGATTGTGCACTGCATTAAGGCATTGCATCTAAGGGATGCCATTCACAGAGCAAACATGTTAGAATTCAAGTAGATCGTAGTGAAGTGTCTTGTTCTTTAAAAATCAATGTATTATGACAATTTCAGACAGCGGAAGTAGAATGTCTTAAATAAGGGGTGCTCTTTCCTTATTTGCACAGTGCGTCCTATGAATGGGGGCCTAGCTGGGATCGCTAGCTCCTGGGGAAGAAGACTGAGGGGAAGAAGGCGGGGGCTGGGTGTGGGGGACACTATCTACCTAGCGTAGCCATGCTGGTCTGACGCCTGCCTCTGCCAGATGACTCTGGGCACAGCTCTTCCCCTGGGGGCCTCGGTCTTCCCACCTGTAGCTAGGACAGAAGGCAGAGAGAGGAGGACGAGAGCTGAGTGTCTGTCTCTGCATCCTGCAGCCTCTGGAATAACCCCATCCCCGCCGACTCGGCCCAGCGTCTGCAGAGCCAGGAGCCCAGGCTGGACTTTGCTTTCTTCCACAACCAGCCACAGGCCTCTCGGGGCACTTGAAGGCCCTCTCAAGACCCTTCGAAGCCAGCCAAGTGATGCCAGGTTGCACCCACCATGATAGAGGGCTCAGTAAAAGCCTCAGCTGGGTGCCCCTGCACCCTGCCTCAGGAGGGAGGGGCACGTTTGATCTGTTACAGTCTTCAAGGAGGACATATTTGGGGACCAGGAGTCTACTATGGCCCATACACTACCCTGTATTACATGTGACACATATGACCAGTAGGGATGTGTGGCACGATGAGGTGTTATGATATGATACATAACAGAGAAGTTCATACGTGGCAGAGTTCCATGTGATATCACATGGAATTGCGGTGTGGCCTGTGGGTCAGTGTCATGGATCCTAGCACCACACGTGGCAGGACACATGATCGATGGTCCATATATGATACATGACAAATATCCATGTCATGTGACACGTGGCTGGCCAAATGCTCTCGGGCTGGTCCAAGATCTAATTTATTACTTTTTTTAAAACCAGTATGTATTTATAGATTGCATTTCCAGGGTAGCTAAGGCAAAGAATGTCTTCCGCCCAGAACTGGGATAGAGAGGCGATCTAAGCACTGACCGGCCCAGTGGCCCAAGCCTCTGGGCCAAGCCGGGGACTCCACCATGAGGCTCCGCCTCAAGCTTCACATTGCCCAACTGTACACTGGACAACCCCTTCTTTTTAAATGCTGGCTTCCAGGACCTTGGGCCCAAACTGACCTGGGGGACAGATAAGCAGTCTATCTTGTGTACGGGATGAAGCAGGCCTATAGGTATAACAGATGGACAATGCCAAGGTTATCAGGCAAGGCCATGGGGTCCAGCCACTACCTCAGCGAGATCCAGGTGAGCTCCCAGGAGCTGCATGTCGCACTGCATATGTAACAGTGTTCCTGTTACTCCCAAGAGGGCACAGGGATGGCCCTGCTACCCTCTAAGCTGGGTGTGACCAATAAACATAGATGGTCTCCAGCCTCTGGCCCGAGTCTCCTGTGTCTGTCCCAATCCCTCGCCAAAGTCGGAAGCGGTTCATCTCCTGCCTTAGGGCCTGGAGCGGAGAGCAGACCACAGAGAGGTGTGCTCAGAGGAGTCAGGAGTCAGGAGACATGGGGTCGTGTCCGTGCTCATACGGTCATTCGATCGTGGACAAGTGACCTCTCTCCAGAACTCACTTCCCCTATATGAGAGTGTTACAGAAGCTCGACATGCTGGAAACCTTCTTTGTTAGACTTGCATTACATGTCAACTCTTTTCTGAATCAATCGTTGATATTTAAGATTGGGAACTTTTACGTAAAAATCCAGATTTGCAGCTTCTCTCAGGTGCTAGTCTAGCATTTCCACTCAAGAGTAATCTGTTGGAGCCATATGACTGTGCGCTTTAGATGTGGCACACATCCCTCGGTTTGCTGCAGTCCCCGCCACTCCCCGGTGACCTTTCTCCCATTCTGCTGCTTGCCCGGTCCTTGCGAGCACCTGGAAATTTCAGGCTTAGACGGTTTCCACAGGTGGGCGGTCCATTAAGAACATGACTTTGGAAGGCAGACGGGCATGGAATGGACTATGATGTGACCCTTTGCTGCCTGTCTTCGAGGTCAGGAACTGTTTCTGTACCTGAGTTAGTAATAGCCCCCGGCTCCCAGGACTTTTGGAGGAATCAAGGGGAAAAAGGTATGCAAAGTCCCTAGGATGAAGAGGTAGGTATGGTTATGTGCTAGTTCCCTTCTCCTTTCAAGGTTCCATATCATATGAGATGGAGAGGTGCTTGAAATGACAATAGAACAGCACCCTGCTCCTGGTCACCTGCCTGTGGGCTGAACGAGTTGATCTCAGGGGAACCTTCCTCCAAAGCTGCACCCCATTGCGAAAAGCGGGCAGGGAAGGTGCAGTTACTGCTGAGCACCACTGGAGGGCAGGCTGGCCCACGAGTGATTCCTGAGACAATTTCCTTTGTCATTGGACCCAGAATGAAGTTAAGAGGTAATGCTAGGGGCTGTTCCCACCTGGCTTAGGAACCTGGGATGTCCCGGCCTGCTAGTGGCTCACCTGGATGGCTCAGCCCTATCTTTTGCCACCCTCCACGTCGTCCCTGGTCCCCTGTCAAGCATGAGGAGAAAGTTCTCCTGTCAAGTGCCAAGCACCCATACCCCATGCGGGGACATCCACACCTGGCACCAAGTAAGGGCAGCAGCCTGGTCATGGGGAAGGGAATAGGCCTGTGGAAAATCCAAGAAGTTTACCTGGAAAGCTTGAGGCCAAAATTCTGTCTCCCCTTCCCGGGAAATGATGCCAAGGTGACCTTGGGCCCTCAGTGTGCCCCTTCATGCCAAGGGGGGTTGTGCTGCCTCCTCCCCTTGCCCAAGATTGGAGTATGAGTCCCTCAAAGCCTGAAGATGCCTCGACCTGGGAAGTCACAGCTGAAGAAGAAACAGAGCCAGTTTCTCCTGGCCAGGTAAAATGCAGAGCTGGCAGCGCCCAGAACTTAGAAACATTCTTTTCCTTTGCTGCCTTATTCATTGTACTTTTCCCTTCTCCTCCTTTCCCCTTAAACTCTGCCCAAATTTTAAGCTCCATGAAACTTTCAGCAGCTGCCCTGAAAAAGCCACGGTATTGTCAGCATTGCAGAGCTGGCTGGGCCCATGTCGGGTTCATGTGCAGTCGCCTTGCTTATTGTATCAAGAAACTTGCTCTCCTACCACCTGCCTCCTTGGAGGCCTGGACTATTTTTCTATCCAACAATGATGGGGTCCAGTGACTCCCTGACAACCTTACTCTCAGAAGTAGGTTTTGTTTAAATATATACATGAAAACAGATAAAATTCAAAGAAAAGAAAGGCTACGGGCCAGTAAACATTGTAATCAAAATGTTGTCTTCTCACTAAGAATGTGATCAGGCTGGTGAGTAGCCCTGTCTATCTGCAAGGCTGGGATAATCTCATTTTGCTACTTTGTCTCTTGGCCTCCGTCCTAGAGTTTTACAGATTGAATATCCACCTTTCTAACGGGAGTCACAGAATCCCTCTATGCATCCTCACAGACCTCAGATCTTCCCTCCTCTGTCCTTCCCCCAACAACACACATCTAAAATCCACTATCCAGGCTGACACTTCTCAAACTATCAAATGGAACTTACAGAAACTATGATGTACATTGACTAGTCTGGGAAACTTATTATGGTGCAGATTCTGGCTCAGGAGGTCTGGGGTGGGGCCTGGGAGTTTGCATTTCTGAGAAGCCCCCGGTGATGTCTATACTGCTCAACCACACGGTGCTTAGTGAGACTGCAGACTGGTGAGTGGATCTCAACGCTGACTGCACGGTAGAATCGCCTGGGGAGCTTTTTAAATTGCTTTTTTAAAATAGAATATTTAGAAAGCTCCCTCAGCATGCTAAGGTGCAGCCACAGTAGGAGACCCACTGCCTCCAGGGGCTGTGCTGCCTCCCAGAGAGGCTAGGCAAGCCTTTGCACCCACCCCCCATTTTGTCCTGAGGTTCCCGGTGATCCTCTGTTCCCAGAGGAGGACACCGAAACCCAGAGATTTTTCTTAACTTGCCCCAAAGCGCACAACTGGTAAGTAGTAGCGCCGGGAATCGAACCTGGGTCTTCATGACTTTTTTCCCACTTTTCTCCCCCAGTTTTACTGATATATGATTGGCATACAGCACTGTATAAGTGTCAGGTGTACAGCTTAATGACTTGACTTACATAGAGTGAAATGATGACCACAATAAGTTTAGTCAACATCCATCATCTCACATAGAAAAAAAAAAAAGAAGAAAATGCTTTTTCCTTGCGATGAGAAGTCCTAAGGATCTATACCGTCTTTTCAACTTTCCAGTGTGAGACTCTTAACCCCACAGGTGCAGCCCCAGTTTCCTCATCTGTACAGTGAGGGGATGAGCAAAATGGATACGAGAACCTACTTTCTCCAGCTGCAAAGATGACCTTATGATTAATGTCTATATTCCCTCGCGGAGGGCTCTGGATCCCCGTCACCTGCCTTGCCAGGTTATATTTCTGCAGGGCTTCACCATCCGTGACTCCTCCGGACCCACAGCCATGACCTCAGCAACGATCTCTCCCGTTTTACGAATGAGAAAACAGAGACCCAGAGAGCAGTAAAACTTACCCAAGGTCACACCGCGAGTATTTAGAGGGGCTCAGATTCCAACCCTGGAGCAAGAAGGAAAGGAAGATGTTGGGGTGGTCCCTGTGGGGGGTTAACTGATGTGTGGGTCTGCGTTGTCCTCAGACAGCAGGGCCCTGGGGAAGCTGGGAGGGCTGAGTGCCCTTCCTGGCCCTGCATCTGCCCCAGCCCCACCCCTGCATGGCCCATGGTGGTGACCCCAGTCAGAAATGGCACACCCACGGGACACACGGGGAGCTTCCTGGGAAAGCCCTTGCAGTGGCTGGTTTGGGTTGGGCCGATGACATTCCCGGGACAGCTGGTCTTCCTCCTGCCCCCGCAGCCACTCCGTGAAGCACCCCATGTGTCTCCCGCCCCCAGAGCTGGTGTCTCCCTCACTCTTGGCCCCTGAAAGCCACCTTTTTGCTCATCCCACACAAGCCCCAGCCCTGCCTGGCTGCCCAGAAATCAACCTTTGTCCTGAGGAGGAGGTGACAAAAGAGGAGCCTTTGCTAGAGAACAAAGGCCATCTGGGGCCTGACTGAGCTGCTGAGTTACACAGGCCAGAAGCTGTCAGTCTCCCAGCTCACAGCCCCCCCACCCCACCCCCACGAGCTCCAGTGCCAGGCTGGGTTGATGGAGCTGTCTGCGGCTGGCTGCAGGAGCTTGGAGGGCTTGGGCATCCTAATCCTGGAAGGAGGCATCCTTGCATTAGGATAACTGTAACCCTGGAACTTCAAAACAGCAAGATCGACACACTAGCTCTGGTGTCTAGCCATGCCTGGTGCCATGCTAGCCACATAAGGGTCTCACTGAATCGGTACTAAATCTATCCTTCCATCTTCTAGAAGAGGAAACTGAGTGATCTCACCCAGGCAGTAATTGCAGAGGCTGGGATTAAAATTTGGGGCTATGATTCTATGACTGAGGTTTGCCACACCCACCTCTAACTGTGGGTCCTTGAAGGGATGTCCCCATCACTGACATGTCGCCATATCGACCCCCTGGCAGATGGTGTTTTCCAGAGATGGCCACCACGCTATCTCTCATCCCACCTGCTCTTCCTACAATGTGACCGTGACACTCCTCTCACTGAAAGGCAGGGCCTCTGGAGTAGTGGCATTATATGACTTGCAAGGCTAGGTCCGATAAAAGTTAATAAGGCTTCCACCTGATTCCCTTGGGACACTCAATCTGGGAACCCAGCTGTCATGCTATGAGAACGCCCAGGCCACATGGAACGGTCATGGGCAGGTGTTCTAGCTACCACTCCAGCTGAAGTCTCAGCTGACAGCCAACACCGATTAGCAGATATATGTGTGAGAAAGCCTCTGGATAACCCCAGCCCCTATCACGGCCTGACTGAGAAAACCTGAACAAGAACGGCCCTAGCTGAACACAGGTGGCCCCCAGAACCGTGAGAGATAATAAGGTTTCGGGTGATATAGGATGAGCGACTGGATCGCCCTCCATCCTCTCCTTCCTCACATACTCCCAAGCCAGCAGCGCCGGGTACACAGGTGGCGCTCCTAGAAATGTCTTTCATTCGCGAGCTCACGGAAGTGTACGGGCAGCCCTGGTTACTCTGCTCTGCTTGTCCAGACAGTCTGGACTGTGGAAATAAACGCCCAGATGGCAGGCGCTTTACACACGAGCGCGCGCGCGCGCGCACGCACACAGACACACACACACACACAGACACACACACACACACACACACACACACACACACACACACACATGGATATACGCCTATTTAGGGAAATTCAGGCCTCCCAGGGTGAGGAAACATTTTGCAGTCGCAGCCCCGTGTCATGTGTGGACTGAGGATAGAGTGTAGAAGCTACTGATGAA